CTCCCCCGTCGGGGAGAGCTGGCGCCCCCGTCGGGGCACAATTCGTCGGGCAGAAAAAAAAATTAGGCCTATATATTTTTTACATATTAGTAGACTCTAAAATCGATTAAATAAGCCTTTGTAATCCATAAATTGTCCAAATTTTCGGGGGCTTCGCCCCCCTGGACCACTTTCAAAGCCTTTTAATCGAAACTCGACCACGTCCACATTGCTTTTGTCAGGGTAATCTGATCCCTCGTCGGGGGAATCGGTCCCCCCGTCGGGGACTTCTGCCCCCTCGTCGGGCAAATCCTGACGCTACTCCTGAGTATAGGCCTAGTAGTAGGCTTAAGCTTAGGCCCTAGGCCTAGACTGAGCTTGAATTGCGCTGTTGATTCCTAAAAAACACAAAATGGCTACGATTTACGAACCGTTACATATAGCTAAACGTATGCGTACACGTATTCGTTAGCGTGCGAAACCTCCCTATTAATAATAGGCGTACAATCGGACAAAGTTTGTTTCCATCGCGTCAATTTTAAGTGGCTTACACTGAAAGTCGATTATTTAGTGACTGGCGTAGGCGTTGCATTGTGTTTTTTCATTAAAACGCGTTTATAAATAAAAGTGCGAACCAAGCTGTATAATAGTTTCGAGAGTAAATAGAACACTCAGTAGAATACATCCGGTCAAATAGGACTGGCCAGTACCAATGCACACGCATCAAACAAGTTTGGCTTACACACACGCATGCGGACTAACATCAATAGTATAAAATACTTAGGCCCTATTCCCCCCACCTCCCAAAGTTATTCTAAATAATTACATTTCCACATAAATATCATATTATTATTATTATAATTAATTGTTTAAAAAAAATAAATTTGTTAAAAATGCTCACACTTTTACCGGAAACAAAAAATCCCTCGAGCCGGATTTAAACCAGCGACCTAAGGATCTCAGTAAACAAACTCCGCCCTACCATCGAAGGATATATGAGAGCCTAAAGTTTATAAGTCTGACAATGTTAAATAAAAATATTATCAAAGAATTGCCTCTTTTAGGATGAATAACATTTTTCGCATTAGATACATTTTCATTAAAAAAAATCATCGGGTTTCTATAAGGTAGTGTTGTTAAACTTTAATTTATGAATGAACCAAAATATATATTTTTGATCGAAACGTCGAGGTAAATAAAGTTTAACACTATATACTTTTTATTCCGAAAGTCGTATTAACTATAATAGTAATGGCAGCAAATTTTATTGTACTTGATATACACATAGCTGAGTACTATCCACAATTCTATGTTTAATTTGGGGGTAGTCTGAATGTCTAATTAAAAAAAAAGATAGTGTAGGAATCGTGTGAATGTATTTTACATAACGCTATTCAAAAGTATTACACTCAGAACAATCCCATATGGTCGAGTGTCTAGGATTCGACGCTATCATCGCCGCGGCCCCGGTTCAATTCCCGGTACCACGTTGGTTTACAGCGCATTACATTTTGATACAAAGCGATTGTTTTCGGTGAAAAATGAAACAATACAATATGCACTGCGTTTCCTTAATACCCACCTTGTGTGAATTTTTCGTCAGTTGATGTTTTTCCACCAACAGCACCTCTCCTGGAAGTAATAGAAGTTGTCGAGAATGTTGTCCTATGAATCTTCTCAGTCTTACCACCGGTTTCCGAATGGTGTCCAGGTATGAAATCACCTCCACCACAGTGTTTGCACTTGTGTGCCTGAGACTCTAGATATATCGCCGATTCTTCATGTAGTGTTCTTCTCTGATTAATCAGGAAGAGACCGTACGCCGTTTCCTGCATCAGAGTGCTGCAGAAACGCAGAAACTTGCAACCTGTTACTGGAAGGCATTGAAAAGATCCTTCCCTGTCTTGGATCTCGTCGTCTTCGGTCTGCATGCAATGACATTCGATTTGACCTTTCATTCGGTTTGCATAGCCCTGTTGGCTAGAGAATTTAATGTTGAGTCGTTGTGTATGTGCGACGTCGGACGGTGGTGTTGCGCACTCGAATACGTGCGTTTGCATAAGGGTTTGTAAAGAGCGTCTTAATTTCCGTATATTACAGTTCGGAACGATCACCTCCAGCATTGCCCTCGTAAATGTAATGCCAAGGATGGCAGCGCATTTTACTACCATCTGTTCAGATGGTTTCATTCTGTCGATGCGTGCCATCAGCATTCCTGTAATTGAAGAAGGAGCAAAGTTACTCAATTATCAAGTCTATACGGGCCTATTTTTATTGTTGTAACTGTAACAATACCTACCTTTCATAGAATTTGGAACCGGTAAGTTGGCAAGCACTACATCAGGTGTGACGATGCAAATCATGCCTTCTTCATTGAGGTCATCATCGTATGTATCATCATCGTCATTTGTAGACTCAGCAATATCTTGCAGTCGTTCCAGCAACTGCGTTCCCAAAACGGGAGTTTTAAGCGACCCAGTATCCTGTTGTCAAATAAAATGGCTCGAAGTAAACTGGTGTTTCTGAGCACTATGATATATGTATTAACGCTAGTAGAAGTCAGTGAAATAAATCAAAAAGTAGGCCTACCAAACTTGACAAACTAGAAACCTAGTGGTTTTACCTTAACATCGAGACTGCCTCTGCGACTTCTACTGTAACTACCACTACTTCCGTCACTTCCTCTTCTTTTCTGGATTGCTTCACTACTTGGTGATACCTATCAAATTTTAATATTTTTACATAGGCCTATTTATAGTTTAAAAATTGTATGCAAATTTTGAGTTAGCCTATACCTACGGTGGTTCGTTTTCAGTTTAGCCAATTGTTTCAACAATTTTCAAAGTTCTCTTACTTGGTTTGCCTCTTTGGAAATAGTATTGCTGTGTGAAACGACTTGTATGTGTCCCTCACTTAACATTTCTCTTGTAAGTTGTTCGCACCAAGACGGTACACCCTGACTTCGTTCTTTTAGCAATCTACAGTTCGAATAAAAAGACACGACAACTTAATATATTACCGTTATGTTATTATGCAGTTATTATTTTGATTTGTTTTAAATTGTCTTCAACAAACGTTCTAGCAGTATAGATATAGGCCTACATTCGACTATACACGGCATAATGGCAAACCATAAACACTTCTCAATGTTGTATTAACCAGGTATTAAACAGGGCATTCACTGCGCCAGTCGTAGCAAACGCGATCACCACGACGCTCTCGCAACGGATCGTTTTTAAAATCCGTTCAGAATTACACAGACAAGCAGCAGACGACGATTCTGATTCGTCATACGACCGTCGTACGACGCAGTGAGTGTCGGGCTCAAGAGAATTGAGAAGGCCTACATTCATGATGTCAATCAGCGGGCTTTAATAATGGATCTGAAAACCTACTTCACGAGTTCTATCGGAACTCTCTTGACGTCTAACAACTGACAAGCCAGTGATGCCATTTGATCTGATTTTAATCCACGAAGTCGAATCTTCACAACTCTTTTGCCAGAGAGAACGCCTTTAGCCGACGCACTTGGCTGGTATTCCTTGGTAAATGGTCTCATGGATAAGACACACATGACCTGAGGAGTTTGTGTCAGGTCTGCAAGAAAATCCCAAGAATCCTTGTCGATATAATGGGCATCGTCTATCACGAAAAGAATACTGTGTTCTGTAGTAAACTGGAAACAAACATGACCAGATACATGTTATTTAATGGAATTATACATGTAGATATTCCATTTAGTTTATGTTAATAGCAACATAATTTCCAAAACTTGAGATACAGACCTAGCCAACACGTATGTGTAAGTGTGCGTTCAACGATTTTGCAGTGTAACTTTTTCAATTTTCAATGACGTTTTGTTACGTTTATAAATTTAACTGTGTAAAACTACAGTACGAGTAGGTAATGTACCCTCATAACAAGGCCAATGCCTATGTAAACTGTACTTCTTTTTATACAACAGTAACATTACTATATTGTACAGCTTTACTATTTTTATTCTTTTCAGTTCTAGTAAGTTGTATTTTTCACATCTACTGTATATTGAAAGTTATGCGTCTTTATTGAGCTTGTCTACAAAACCGAATTTACTATTTTTGAACATATAAAATTCTATATTCTGTTTCAGATCTACAGTAAAATTTATTCATGATAGTTTAATATACACATCAGTGCTTGAACTTACTTGGCTTACGATTCTCATGAGCAGTGACCGAAGTTCCTTGTTTTGTTTCACAATGTTCATCATGACGAACTTAGGATTGTTTGGCATCTGTCAAATAAGAATAAAGTCCAGACTATCAAATCTTATTTGAAAAAAAAAATTGTGACATACCTAATATGGTCATGATGACATCATATCATGACGTGATGATTATGTACGGACATCCAACTTCATAAAAAAAATAGCCAAAAAAACGATTTTAAGATTGATTCTATTATTAATGGCATATCAAAAATCCACTCTAGAACAAAACATCATTTTGCTAGTTCTCTTTTAAGTAGTGTTCATCGTGGGTGAAGTATTTAGTCTTTATCATGGCTCTTGGTCCTAGTACGAGTCAGAACCATATTTATAAAGAATTGCGACATTTCGCTCCTTGGTTTGCGAAAGTCACGTGGCATACACCGTCCATTTTGTGTCATAATCTTCTCGATGAATATATCACTTTGTATGGACAGCGTATTAGAATTCATATATAATCGAATATTTGCGCGCATGTGTATATAACTTATAAACATTGAGAAATAACGAACATTGAACAAAACATTTTGACGAAAACACATAAGAGAATCACAGAAAATGTCAATAGAAAAATCAGTTTTACATAAAGAATTGTATAACTTAGGCAGACGATTAATAAACCCATGATTAATAACGTAGATAGTACTCATGCATTTAAAAATGAAAAGAACAGGATTACGTAATTGATATTGTGGAACAGAAAGAGAAAAATTAACGGCAAAATTTCCATCGTAGATAGCATTCATACATTTAAAAAGGAAAATTAAAATCAAAAATTTCACGGCGGTCAGCTAATGGGGTTAAGAAATCTTTACTAACAAAACCAAATTTGCGAGAATAAAATCTAAGAAACTTATTTTGAACACGTTGTAACCTAGTCGACTGATACAGAGAAATAGAATTGAAAATAACACAACAAAATTCAAGATTAGTTCTAACTAAAGACTTATATAAAGTAACTAAAGCCTTACTATCGTTAATATGTCTGCAATGCCTCCAGAGAAAACCAAGTAATTTGTTACATTTGGAGACAATGAAAGTAATATGATTACAAAAAGTTAAAGAACTATCGAAGATAACACCAAGATCCTTGTGTACATAAACTCTTTCAAGTAAAATATTGTTAATTTTAAAGTTATACAAAATGGGTTTTTTCTTGAGTGTAATGGACATTGATTTGCATTTAGAGGCATTGACAGACATACACCATTTATTGCACCAGTCAATAAGACCATCCACATCCTCTTGGAGTAACAACATATCGTGCATGGTGGAAACTGATTTGAATAATTTAATATCGTCTGCAAATAAAAGGAAATTAGAGTGACAAGGAATGAATGAAAAATCGTTAATAAACATAATAAAAAACAGTGGCCCAAGAATGGAACCTTGTGGAACACCTGAAAGAACTGGAAGCCATTCTGATGTATGTCCATCAATTATAACCCTCTGAAACCTTCCCTTTAAATAACTAGTAAAGAAAACAATAAGGTCGTCGCTGAAACCAAACTTTTTGAGTTTATACAAAAGAAGATCATGTGGAATCCTGTCAAAAGCTTTGGCCATGTCTGTATAGATGACTTCGCACTGACCTTTGGAATTGATTGCTGAATAAGCGAGTGCCAGATGTACAGACAGGTTTGTTTCACATGATCTTCCAGGATAGAACCCATGCTGATGATCACTTATAACAGGCGAGATATGATTAAACATTTGATCAAATACAAGTCTCTCAAACACCTTAGAAATTGTGGGTACTAATGAGATTGGTCTATAGTTATGTGCGTCCGATTTTGAACCCCCCTTATAAACTGGGCATACATTGGATTGCTTCCACAATTTCGGGAAACTTTTTTTAAGAGATACACCTATCGAATAAAATTGCACATGGTAGAGAGAGGCTTAGCAGCAAGACACAATATATTGTTGCTAAGACCGTCGTTACCAGATGCCTTGTTAGGATTTAATTCACCAAGGTGTGTTTGTATTCTGTTTTGACTAAAAAGAATTTGAGAAAACTTGTCTAAAGGATAGTCAGGAAGATGAGGATATTCAAAAGTGCTATTTTTAGGGTTGTAAACTGAATAGAAAAAACGATTAAGTTGATTTGCTTTATCATGGCCCTTGGGTTGGCCCTTGGTCCTAGTCCTAGTCAGAGCCATATTTATAAAGAATTGTGACATTTCGCTCCTTGGTTTGCGAAAGTCACGTGGTATACACCGTCCATTTTCTATCATAATCTTCTCGATGAACACATCACTTTGTATGGACAGCGTATTAGAATTCATATATAATCGAATGTTGTGGCGAAATAGTTAAGTTGTCGCAGAGTCCAGTTTTGAGTAAATGAGCTATAAAATATGGGAGCTCAAAAAATTGCCTTAAAATCCAAATTTGTTTTTCACTGTAGGTCAACAGTTCAATGTCTTATTAATCATGTCCCAAAGTATTAACAAAAAAACAAATTGTTTATTTAACGATATTTATATTTTTATAGTTCATTCTAATAAACAATGTATGCACAAATAACTTTGAAAGGCAATTACTCAAAATCATGTTTATCTTGAGTCTAAGAGTACTGTACTTTCATTTTCCAATAACTTAGGCTTGAAATGTCCAATTTGAATAAATGACCTCTCATTTTAAAGATCACATACTCAGGTATCTGAAAATACCAATAACTTGAATTTCAATTTTTACTACAACTTACCATTTTGCCATAACATGCCTCATATAGTCGAATATTTGCGCGCATGTGTACTCGCGTAAATTCCGTGCTCGCGTAAATTACTGGAATGAATTAGAATTTCTTTCAATTATCGTTAATTCGTCACATTTTCTGAAGACCCGATGTATTTTAATTAAAAATGTAAATTAACTAATAAGTATGTGTTTTATTATGCTATTCGTTCCCCTGAGATACCTGTCTCTTATACACATCTATTGGTTCGTGTGGGAATTGAACACACAACCACCTGGTTTCCCGTAACATGATTGGTCTATGTTTTTCTAATTTGCATAATAAATTTTTCAAACATTTTTGTCTATTTAAAAACAAATTCGTAGGTTATGAAGATGGTAACAATAAAAAATCTATTATACATTTAATTCTACATTTTTAGACAAAAAAATTAACACTCTTGGCCCACGGCCCATTTTTGACACTATTACCATGCGTATTATTAACCTGTAGTGTATATATACAAAGAATTTTTTGTAGTAGGATCAGAGTTGACTAACTGGTACTTGGTGTGGTACTAGGTTTATCGCATTTATGGTTTAGGGGCCGCGGTTTACCTCCCTCCGTTTAGTCATGCTGGATCAGAGTAGTAAACTCGGCGAACGTGGGTTCGGTTCCCACACGGGGCAAGTTTTTTTATATTCTTTTATTTATTTATTTTTTTGATGGTCGTGGGTTCGATTCCCACACGAGCCAGTTTTTTTTTTTTTTTTTTNTTTAAGGAGTTTAGTTGATGGTGGATAATGAATAGCAAACATGAAGGTGTGTTCGATTCTCACACGATTTTGCGTGTATGATGTAACCATGGCTGTGAATTGTGATTATTACAGCAGCACGCAAAGATTGTACGCGGCGGATACAATACGCGGTGGATACCCTACGCGGCGCTATTTACACGATCTTTTGTTACGTCATGGTAAAATCGTATATAATCGCCTATAACTTCATAAAAAATAGCCATAAAACGATTTTAAGGTTGATTCTATTATTAATGGCATATCAAAAATCCACTCTAGAACAAAAAATCATTTTGCTAGTTCTCTTTTAAAGTCTATATATTATGGGCATGATGTCTCCGTAGATAGGCCTATCTCGTATTAGGCCTAAATAGCCGTCTCGGAATTTGCCGTCTTAGGGCGCATAGGCCTATCTATTTGAAAATCAAAGCATATAATATACTGTGGTATTATCGTCTGAATTTTTTTGTTTTTATTCTTCCGATAAGTAACAAAAAGGAAACAGAAAAGAGAAGGAAAAGATTTTTGAGCAGGGACTGTCGAGGATAAGCAAAAGGTAAATAAAAAACTGTCATTAATAGTTGTGCTTATCCAAAGACTTGCCTTCAACATAGTAATAGTATGCCATCACCCGCACCTTAAACTGTGGGTGAGTTCATTAGTTAAATAGCATTTGATTCATAACAATATTAGGTCTTTTATTTCATAGCCATGAATGGTGAATAAAATTGTTGTGTGAAACCGTTCTCAGGTGTCTAGTCTGTCTCCATCAGGGGAGTTTATGAGGCCCTGCAGCATCCTGTATTGTTGAACAAAAAAGCTTGAAGTAAAGCGTTGTTTCTGATCACTAATACGATACTGATAATATCGCTAGTCGTAATAATTGCTAAGTGAAATAAAATCCAGCTACTGGCTCAAAGTCAACATTCCACGGACATTTCCTCTATGCTTTGTATTTCATCAAGAATTGTATTAGAGCAAAGAAACAAAGTCCTCTTAATTTTTGAATTCCTTATTTTATTCATTTCTTAATTAATGTTAGTAGTTGGTGGCGTAGGCCTATATTTGTAATGTTAAACTTTCTTACCTTGATCATTAAAAGGTCGTTCAACAGGCAGAGATCCTCTCGGATCGACTCATTTTGAGTGTGCTTCAAAAGTATATGCTCGCGCTCCACGTGACTCTGACATCCTTCCATTTCCATTAACATCTGGATGAGCGAGCGAACAGTGTAGTAAGGTGTGTTGTGGTCATTTATTGTCAATGCTAATGGTAAGACCCTATAAGATTAAATCATCATAACAATATAATACTGGATTTACAGGACTAATTTGTTCACATAATATATTACGATTACAGTGCTAAGTTTATTGCCTATGTATATGTATGAGTGTGTATATCTGAAAGCAATTATATGAATTAATAATCTCGCCGAGGTCACATGGGTGGCAAAAATGCCCGTGTTACGAATAAAAATAGTGTTCTGATAGTCTATAATCGTAATATTGAAGTTGTTCCATTTTTCTATAATTATACATAATGTATACGGGTAGTATATGACGCCTATTAATACTAATGCGGTACAAACAAGATTGTCTATATACAAATAAAATGAAGAAAAATAATGTTTTTCTAACAATCCTTCATTTTTTTTAATTTTTTTTTATTATACATACATACAAGTATATATCAGTACTGTTCTGACTTTTTATCCGTAGAGTAGTAGCAATTATCAAAGTTAAATTTACTACCAGCAGTGACAAAATTTTTTTCACTAAAAGCTCAGCTCATACTAACAAGTTGTAACCTTATGTGCCAAATTCGTGTATTTTCCATAATTATATAAGCCTAAAATGGGCATGATGTTGTCATATCACATCCATATAGGAATGATTGTCATATTATATACCCACGTGGCAAACCGAAGGCATTTATCATAACATAGAGTGGATAAAGCTTAATTAACAGTAAAAAAAAAAAAAAAGAAAGAAAGAAAGAAAAAGAAAATAAACACATTTCAATTTTAAAAACACCTACCGCACGCCCTCATTCATAGCCTCAATAATGATAGCATCTAACATACGGGTCTTTCCAATTCCTGACTCTCCATCGTATATCACGATATTGCTATAAGTGCTACCTTTTGGATTTTCCTTCATCTTGCGCAACTGAAGCATACATTCTTCAATTTCTTTTTCTCGACCTGAATAAAATAATTATTAAGGGTTACCGTAACAAATATATACTTTATAAACTCATTATTTTAAAATTACTAAAATACTACAGGCCTATTGCAGGCATATACTTCTTAATATTCGTTATGATAAAATCATTATCATTACTGTAATTAATACCTTAACATAAAAGTGGCTTAATACAAATATTATAGTCACCTAAACACATTACCATAATCATAATCATCGTTATCACATCATACAAAATACAGTATTATCCTCATTCTTATCATTATTAGTAAATTAATTATCAATATTGTTAGAATCATCGTCGCCATCGTCCGTGTAATGGCCATTTCATTGCATTTCATTTATTACGCCATAATATAACAAATATAACATCATAGAAAGAATTATAATTCTATATATACACAAATTCAAATTATCTATCAATCAAACAATCAATCAACATGTATGTGTAAAGTGTTAATATCCACGTCAGAATGCAATGTTCATTAAAATAATCCTCAATGAATCACAATTATTATTAAACTCTCAATTAAAGAATGAGGTCTGAAACTTGACCATCATATTTGGCTTACATGGTCAAGATAATCATCAATCAGATTGTAAATTAGCGAAGTAACTGATAATTATTAAAATCGGCTCGATGTAATTGATCCCAGATCCTCTTGGAATGACGAACTTGCTATTTAATACATGTGTTAATTAGATATGTGTGGAAATCTAAGTTTCTGCGATGACGTTAATCGTGTAATAAGGATGTTACCTTACCTAGGATAGGAAACTCGAACTCCGTGACGGTTAGGGGAACTGACATGTTGTTTCTACATGTGGACAATAGAAAAAGACTCCAAAGTAAAATTAGACTTACGGCACACAGCTTTCATGTTACTCTTTTTTTAATACGATGGTTGACACTAAACCAATCACTAAATCAATTGGACAATCTATCGGTCACTCGATCACTATACATTCATCAATCATCAATTAAATCAACCACTCAATCAATCAAGCAAACACAAAAATAAAACAATAGGATTTTGCGGTATTAGCTGTAATACGAAATTACCCTATATATCTGTCTCTTATACACATCTAGATGTGTATAAGAGACAGCCTCTATGCTTTGAACGCGCTATTCCCTGTCTCTTATACACATCTAGATGTGTATAAGAGACAGCAATATAACAAGTAAAACAATATCAACATACGGTAATGGATTTAGGCCTATCTCACGAGGTGGGCCTATTGGGCATCTTTAAGGCGTCTTAATGAAAAGTGTAGGTGGTGTATTAATAAGTTGAATTTCCAAATAGTAAATTCTGTTCTACTTACTCGGAGCCCTCTAAGTATTCATGAATGGTGCCCGGATTACGCACACCTTTCATCTCCTTGTGCGGAAGTTCCTTGAAGAAATGTCTTGGCTGCTTCGAGTGGTGGAAAGTTTCAGGGTCGCATGACAACTTATCCGGATAATGCATCATCAATCGGGCGGCCATGTTCACTTTTCGTCCAATCACTATAGTTGGAAAATAATAATAGGTCCTATATCATTATCATCATTTTTGTTATATCATCATTTTGATCGACATTACACCATCATCACCATTATCATCATCATCATAATTATCACCATCACCACTATCATCGTCGTCGTCATCGTCATCATCATTTCTTCGTATTAATTAACATCACCGCTAAAAATAGCATTTCATCATGACCGTCATCACTATTATCATCATCGCTGATAATATAATAGCATTGTAAAATATCACAATATCGTCGTCATCACAGCCACATATCTACGGCTCTGGTCGACATATACCATTTTAGCCATCATTATCTTAATCGTCATATACAATCAATCCACCAGCCCTCAGTAGCTAGAGCCATCAGGTTAGAACTAAATATTTTCATCGCATTCTGTAGTAGTTTTTAATTTATTACCCTCTCTATACTGCTTATGACTAATTCTGTATGAGAAACACGGCGTTCTCTTTCTGTTAAATTGTTATATTGATAGTAGGCCTACCTGTATATTCGTGTCTGTGTTTGTGGCCAACAACGCCGCAGAACGATGAACCAGTAGTGACTCCAATTGATACCTGCCTAAAATATCAAGAAAAGAGAGTGATCACGGAATTACCAGTAGTTTATTTCATTTTATTTTTTTTTTTAAATTAATTTTAGTGTTTCTGAAATTCCGTTCACAATCGAAGGAGGTGCTTGTTGCAACGTACCCCGGTCATATTAATCGAAAAAAAATAATTCGCCCTTTTGATTGAATTAGTGTTGGGGTTTCTATTTAAACCAAAATTAATGATTTTTGAATTATGTAGTTAACCTATATTAATTATTTGTGAATTATGCAAATAACTTATATTACTGGTTTGTGAATTATGTAAATAACTTACGAAACGAGAGGAGTTGCTTTAAGTTGGTCTAACGTCACGTGAGATGACTTCAGCGCATGAGCACAATCTTCCTCATGCTTGTCTCCCGGCAATCCATAAATAACCAGAAATGTGCAACCCTGTAAAAGATTTGAACACAAATGTTGATGCCAAAGTATAAATTTTCTTTGACAAAAAAAAAAAAAAAAAAAAAAAAAAAATACAGCTGTATGAACAAATATAGTGATGATGTGCTTATATTAGGGTCAGGAAGTTATGTCATCACGACCATATTTATGCATGTTTTTGTCAAATAAAATGGTGTGGACAGGTCAACACAACACTACAGAAACTCTCCTGCATAACGTTATACAGGCGCCCTCTATACTAGAAGTGTTTTCGACAGAGTTTTTAAAAATTCAATGACAGGTCATTGCCATTTAACGGGAATACAAAGGGCGTTTACTATACTTCATTTATTTGATTATTTTCATTTGTGTAGGTAGCCAGGTAATTGCGGGTGCTTGGACACCTGTGTTTTTTAATCATAAACCTGCTTTATGAGAAATTCTTCCTTTCGAAGTGTCCCTGACCGTATCATCTGCCTCGACTTGATTCACATGGCGCCTAAATTGCGACATAAGCATATACAGATGGACCAACATTGAAATTTACCTTGTCAAACATAAATATCTTGTTGAGACAACCTAAAGAAAACACATGAATAAGATGTGAAGTTACATAAAAAAAACAAAACAACAACAACAGCATCAGCAGCAGCAGCAACAACAACAACAACAACAACAACAACAACAACAATAATAATAATAATAATAATAATAATAATAATAAAAATAATAATAATAATAATAATAATAATAATAATAATAATAATAATAATAATAATAATAATAATAATAATTTAAAATAATACTAATTGGAATTGAAGATTCTTCTGTGGTATCGATAAATCTGAAACCCCTAAAAAATGCAATCAATGAAAAGTGCTATACTTCCAATGAGAAATCAACATTACTTGGTTCTATCCAAATGATGTGGATCTGTATATGATGCTTAGTATAGGACTTTTCGTACGATTAAAATCAACACTACTCTCAAAACCTCAAAAAGAAACTTGGTTTATAAAGCATCATTCCATCCTACAATTGAACTACTAGAAATTATTATCTTGTTAGAAATTATGATTTAAAGATAGAGTAGGCCAATACATTCAAATAGTAAATCGTATTCTTCAAGTTTGTTACATGATAGAAATTTTGGTACGGAAAAGAATTGTCTCCATAATGCATTACATAATTATAGGCATATTATTTCAAAATAATGAGGGTCTGCTGTAAACAAAAAATAGAAGGTTATATATTATATATTGATGCACACCACGTAGATAGTTCTGAAAAGAGCTGTTGTTGTTGGTTGAATAGGAAGCCTATTCAAACAATGCGATAACAGCAAGTGAAAGAAGATTGTAGTATATAAGCCTATTTCCTTGTATCACATCACGAAACCAGTAACAATAAAATACCTCTAAATTGCCTGCAGTTGCTATAAATAATATTGAAAGCGTGTTGTAGGTTGTTGTTGGTGTCCTCAGCGTCCTTTGTCGGCACGAAGATGATGTTGATGAAAACCACTGACACCTGACGCATTTCTGATAAATATTCCAGTGGCTGGCCATCCTCAATCTAATAATTCAATAATAATATAGGCCTAAATAATGCGCAATTTATAATACGCATATTTTTGCGATAAACTGTCTCTACATCAGCTCCATGGGAGAAAGCCATTCTATAGGAGGACCCCAAACTAGAATCAGCTCTTGGTGTAGGCCAATTAAATCCCAAAAGACGTCCACTTATACCCCTGGGTAGATAGATAGGTAAAAACATAGAAAATGTCCTGTGAACAGAGAGGGTTTCGAAGAGTCGGAACCCGGTCGTTGCGCCAACGAAATTATTCGGTTAAGCCTAGGTACACTACAGTAAGGAGCGGATAAGAAAGAGGGGATGTGAATGAGCGAACTGAGTGAGAGTTTCGGGGAAGAGACCCTAGTAGTATGGGTGTAAATGGCTGGAACTCCTTAAACCAGCTCTAGAAATTTCATTAATTTGAGTTTGTATATTATAATGTTTACTGCTTAGCTTCATAAGCTTTATGAAATTAAAATAAAAATATAAATAAATAAATAAAATAGAGAGGGCTTACGCCACTTACCCTCTAAATACGCCACTATATATTACAATGCAGGGTTAATAATAATGATAATAGTTGGATTTGTAGAGCGCATCATGCGAAAAAGCCTCTATGCGCTTGGTGATTGAGCTCTTTGAGTTGGACATTTTGAGAAAAAAGAAAGTTGAAGTTATTTTATGAAACTAAAAAAACTTACTCCTTAAACTAAGGCATGGTTGGCCGTTGGCTCCGAGGATTGTGGTTTGTGTTTGTCAGACTAGGAGCAGTCTCTGGTCAGACCATGGTCATACCCAACATATCACCTCCTTGCTATTGTAATCATACATTGTCTTGAGTCAAGGCATGGTCTAATGCAACTGAGATGGAGGAGGGGTGGAGAAGGGGGGGGTGAGCATGTAAATAAGTTAGGGTATTGATAAATAGCGTCAGCCAATGGTATGTAACAATCAGGGAATATAAATGTTTTCCGTTGCAAGGGCTAGGACCAGAGGGACGTGGAAGCCCCAGGGATGGCCTAAAACATAGTGCTTGAATTCCGACTACATTGCTATTTAGTGGCAAAAATTTAAATAGAGCGTAGCGCAAGCAAGCATATAACTAATACAGTACTGTATTCGGGTCGCGTTTCCGATACGCTGACCGTTTCTGTGAGAGCTGAAATAATTCTGTGGTGAAAGAAACAAAATTATGTAGTACAGAATTGATTCTGTACTACTATATTTAGAAAGTAATAATTCTGTAGTAGATAATTATTTCTGTTAACACAGAATTTATTCTGTACAAAGAAAAGTTTGACAGTAATAATTCAGTGGTACATAATTATTTCTGTAACAACAGAATTAATTATGTACACATAATAGTTTAACAGTAATAATGTTGTGGTACATAATTATTTCTGTAACAACAGAAATAATTATATACACATAATATGTTGACAGTAATGATTCCGTGGTACATAATTATTTGTGTAACAACAAAACGCCTATAAGACATAAAAAGCAATTGTCCCAAACGGCGCCCCGTACGATTAGCCACTTAGAACAATTAATACGGGTCTAGTAGAACAGAAATTTGCCCAGATACCGGCCTATAATTGAACATTTTGTCTGGGGCGAATTTGGTGCCCTGAATATAGCGTTATAAAGCACATCGTACTCTATTAAATAGTTGTGCCGACGAGGGTTTATTTATTTTTTCATTCAATTTATTTTCAGGTTAAACAATTCTATGAAGGATTTTCATTTTAATGCTTGCTTTCATCCATTCTCTTTGTAATTCACAAATATTTCTTCTTTGAGAAACCACTGTCTTGGTCTTCCAACGTTATATATCTTTCACTCACATTTTTAAATAGGACTAGGCCTATAAGTTTTAATTGTACATAATTACTCTCAATTGCCTGATCATTCATGTTTAAACCATTTACCACTACCGTGTAAACTTTTCGCATTTGTTTTTTTTCGAAGCATTTTAGTGTATGAAGTTTATTGTTGTTTGAACATTAAATCAGTCCTTATTTTATATTGTCTTTAAGAACGTAGTTTACAGTATAAAGTTTTATCATTCAAAATGTGTTATCACAGAATTCAGACAAGTAGCTACCATGGTTAGATATGTGAATAAAAATTTAATTAAATTGAACTGACCCAGGTACAGACAATTAACTAATACAAACAAACAATCTAAAAAGTTGAGCAAAGATTTGTGAACCCGGAAATTGTAAAAAATCTTTTCTAAATCCTCTCCCACTGCGATGAGGTCACTGTTTCCATGGTAATTCACAAAATGGTTCATTTAAAATAGCAATGGTACGATTATACAGATAACCATCAGTATCTATGTAGTATGATAAATTGCTCTTTTCAACTTTAACACCCCAAACTACACAGTATTTACTACTTATCATAGAAGGTAGGTCTACAGTTTAGGCCACTCCTGATTTATTATACTGGTACTTAACAAGACGTGTAAATAGCGCTTAAATCTAAACAACCGTTGGCGTAGGAACTCATCATCTTCCTGTGATGAATAATAACGATAATTTAATGTAGTGCGAGTTACCTTTTTCAAGACTGGCTTGATGACGTATTTACGTAGGACCTCTTTCTCTTTTTTGGAAGGCGGCCGAAAAACTGCCGGTCTGACTACAAGATGTAAAAATAATATTGAAATTTATAATGAAGTAAAAAAAAAATTAATAAAATAACTGTCAATATATTAAAGTATTGTAAATTCCAATTGTGATATATAGCTACCGTCAGTCCCATCCAATAGCAGGGTCGAAATAACAAATATGGGCGCCTACATTGCCTAACTCAAAAAAATATTACTTTTGGAACTTGCCGCATTGCAACGTTTTGCAATCATATGAGGTCAACTCCAACGTGATTTACTGCTTTGGTACCTTTATGGTTTATTATCATTTTATTTAAAGAAGGAAAAAAAACTTTCTTTTTAAGACCCATAAATAACTTTTAGGTAAAATGTTTGTAAGCAAAACAAAACTGAATTGTTTCGATTTGGTCTTCCTTTTAAATTAGTAATTTAATTTCTAAATTTAGTTGTTCAGGATTTTTATGGATTTTACCACAGGCAGTCATCGGTGTGAGAACTTAAACACCGTAAAACGTAATGCATTTGCGTATTTGTGGGACATCCCCTTACTTACATCTGGCTATGAAATTACAGGTTCTGATTAGTCTGATCAGAACACTCTGAAAATGTCTATTTAGTCATAAACAAAAGATCAAGTTTATTTCCATGGTTAGGCCTAAACTAAAGTACAAGTACTTACGTCTTCCTTTCTCATCAATCTTGGCTTCTTTGTCATCAACCATTTTTTTCCTAGGCGAAGTAACACGTTTACCTGTCAAAATACACATAGAAAGAAATTTTAAATCAAAATATTACCGATGTCAATATAGTAGACCATTATAATTTATTACCACTTGGCCTAATATCAATTTCGCTTTCGGTATAGGCTTATGTGGAACTACAGTATTGAAATAGAAAACTTTATCAAGACAGTGAAATATTGGAATTTCTATGAGTCATCACAAGGTAAACCAGTAGAACACTCCGTCGTACGACCGTCGGGGCGCTAGACGACGCGACGAAGTCTGCGACTGCTGAATGACAGTGGTGGCAGTCTATCATTTAAACGTATCCGCCGCACGCGCGTTGTGGCGTTGCGTTTTATACTTGCGTCACGACCGTCGGGAGGAGTGAGTTACAGGCTTTATATTATGGGTAGGATTATAATAAAATTCAAAAGAGTAAAATGCATGAACACATACCAGGGGACGAGATTCCAAGAAGGGCGCCACTGATAGCATTCGCCTGTAACTCCTGCTGTTTAGCTAGGCCTAGAAGATCTTCCTCAGGAGGTGGAAGGCCATAGGATATTACCTTGAAATAGAGGGCATGATTTTAGTGTTACTCCAGCAATTCTCAACGGGATGTAATGCAATAAATAAAGTGCTCATAGCATGGAGGCTGTGATCATAGTAATTATCAATAATATGACAGTCAATAGGCCTAATGGTGCTGTGACATGTCTGCACGGCCAATTCTAAAATAAATTCGCATTAGGCCTATCATTTTTACCTCCTCAATTTGTTCTATTTTTAAAGCAACTTCAGCCTCAGGGTTCTTATACAATGTTTTCTTATAATTTATGAATTCTTATTATTTAAATTTTCGATCAATTTGTACCCCTACTGTTATAAATTCGGTTTCTTAAATTATTCAACCGTATTTAATGTTCAAACAAGGAAAACAAAAATTGGTTTTCTATTTCTAATCTCTTAATTGTGTAAGTTTATTTGGCATCGGAAAATTATTAAAAGAATAAAAGCAAATTCGTAAAAAATCTTTGATTTATTTTACATATTTTGTCCCTACCCGTATGTGTTTATTATCTGACATTTTTTCGATGTGGCAAAGATCATGATCAGGTGCATAAGCCCATACTTTCGGTGACAATATGATGTCCCCTGGCTGTGCAAACTTTTCCGCCTGATTAGCGTCGTCAACAGCCGTACTACTCAAAGCTACTTGTTGGCATTCGTCGTTGCCAATGTATGTAACTTGCATTGGACCAATAGAAAGACCTATAAAAGAAACTCATAGCATTACCAAAATTTGTTCACGAAAGTAGTTAAAAACAGAGAGCTAAACAGACTATTTTCCTGTCAACGCTATTTGACGAAAATCGTTAAAAAGTAACGACAATATGCCTATAACTAGCCCTAATAACTGCTAAAAATTGAAAAATTAACGAATTGCCGGAAAAGGGGTCGAATTTGACTTTATCCTAATCGCTAATTTAACGATCGAAGAAAACAATTGTCAAAGTTGAATCTAGTTCAACATTAACGATGTTTTAACGATAACGTAGACAGAAAACAGATCCAATAAGCGGGCCCTTAAAAACATGTTATTTTGCCTGCTAAAAATAGAAATTTTCCTTGGTGGCTTGTCGCGTGAGGCCTTATGACAAATTACAGGAACCGAATAATGGTTATGTTAATGCCAATGAGGTGTTATAGTATTTCCTTAGTAGGAATTGTATTTTGGTATTCAATTTACGTTTGATAAGATATCTAACACAGTACCCTTTCCTGGTTCATGTCATGCAGGAAGGTTTCCTTCCATGGATTTTTCCTCATTGACTGGAATGGAAGCTTACTTTTATAAAGAAAATTCAGAAAATTATATATATATATATATATATTATATATAAGCATAATTTTATATATATGTGTATATATATATATATCAAAAATGAAAACAAAAAAGAGCATTCAAACAATAAAACCAAATAATAGATTTTGTAGACATTTTGATTTTCAGATGCACAGATGTTTTGCATTTCGTTCCAATCTGGACGGGTTATCACGTTTTATCTTCAAAATGGTATTTTTGACAAGATAATAAACACTGTAATGTGCATGACAGAACATGTCAAATGCAGGTCAAACTGATAAAATACATGTTTACAGTTTGAGTGACACGCATTTGAGAGGACGCATTCTCATTGAATTGATCCTATTTGACTTGTCGTTAACCTGTGCATCAATCATTTGGCGTCTAAATGATAATTATCATTTGAAGAAAATATGATAAAAAGATGTGTCACTGGCTTTAAGCACTATCAAGACCATTAAACTTTATTTGACAAAAATGTTATATGTGTGATGTGAGTCACGATGTGCCTATATATGGTCATGCTGTGATGTCATAATACCCATATTTAGGCATGTCACTTGTTTTTGTCAAATCTTACTTAAATTCATACTATAGGGCCTATGCCAAATTCTTAGTTACAAATATTGAAAAGAAAATTATAATATTTTAATTGCTTACCGTACTAGCTCTATGTCTTTTTAAATGAAAATTAGTAAAAAAAATTGTAAATAATTACGACACAGATAATAATAGGCCTACCGTTATAATTTCTTTTACATAGACTTTTAAATTGACTGTTAAAAATGTAATAATTGTTTAATCGTATCAAATTTCAGTCTCATAGAATCGCGTTGGCGATTGTTGACTAACGTAGTTTGAATTATCGTGCCCCTCTTTTAGTAGACCGCCACAAACAGAAAACTGCAAATCAGTTACAGATCAATGACCAATTGACCTTTCCGCTAAGCCCCGCCCCTTGGATATTGTTGCTAAGGTCCCACAAGACGACGATGTTAACATACGCAAATACGCGCGTTTGTGGGACAACACGTCTGTTTGTTAGAGGCGCGCGTATCCCTGGCGCTGCTCTGATTGGTCAGTTGTTAAGTTTGATTGACACTCTGGAAATGTCTATTAATCTTACTTGGAGATCAATTAATTACTTATCATTAAGATTATAAGAGATATTTCATCATTAAGTTTCATATAGGTATAAATTGTTATCATTATTTCAGTACAGGCCTACTGTAAAATACGGTAGTATGTTAAATCAAACGGATCAAGATAATAAAATCATCAACACGTTCCATCTGATGCAATAACACGCTGTACTTGGAAAGTGATTACGGTACTCGATACATTGTTACAAAACTTCACTTTCGGTGAAAGTTAAAAATGAAAACTGGTTAGGCCTATATATGATCTGGGAAAATTATCGCCATTCTATTAAATATGGCGTTATGGACATGCATGACCAGTGTGCAAATGCGTTACTTTTATTGATTGTTTAAGTAAATAATGATCCGTTCCATTTCATTCATTCATCCATTCACTCTTCAAGCAATAATATATTTTGTATGGTACCTAAGGTTACGTAGGCATGACCCAACATTGAATTAATTGGGGTTTTTTGTGTTAAGTTATATATTCAGTCTATATTTTATATGAATTAAAATTAGGCCTATTATCTCATTAATAATGTCAATCAACATAATTGTCAATGTTTATTAATAATATTTAATATTAATTTGTATACGTAAAGATTAATAATTTTGATATATTCACTGGCTAATTTCTTGTGCAAAGCATTAAAATAATTGTTAATATTTATCTTAATAACATCTTTAAAAAAAATCTATACTTTATATTTTAAGGCATTAAATGTTATCTCATGTATATTTCACTAGATGGGATAGGATTTATGTACTGTATTCATTTGTCTTAAAAGTAACTACGGTATTTTAAATTTCTTTTCTTTTTAATTTTAATCTTTGTAAGTAGTATTTTAATTAATACATTTGCGTGCAGATATGATGAATACCGTTGGTTGTTCTGTGCGTCTTTTTGAATCCCGCTTGTTTTATTATTAATGTTAGTTTGACGCAATTCAGCATAATACTGCAATCAAATGTTGTTCTTTTAATAAACCAGAATAAATATTCATGAATTCATTCTTGATCAAATAATTGATTTTAGGAACAATGCTTTACGCTACCTGATCGATTTATTATACATTATCAATCACAAACCATCTAAGGTAGCCTACTGGTGTACCGTATGTAATGTTAGAAATGTTCGACATACATTCGTTTGCTAAGCACTTACTAATAAAGAATATTTTTAATTTATGGATTTAGTTATATTTGGGATTTAAATTAAATAAACGATAATTTTTTTAACATTTTCACTTAAAGAGTATACGATACTGCTAAACAAAATGGACGAGAAATGCTTCTACAAAACCCACGTTTGAGTTTTTATAACAAAGTTAAAAATAATTCGGCATGTTACGGAAGATTACCTAGGCCTGTGCGGTTTAAATTTTAAGTTAAGAACACTTTTATCGAGATTCGGTTTACACATAATTTATTTATAGAGAAAGGAAGACATAAACAATTGTTAGAGAAAATAGAATTTGTTTAGTTCGTGATATTGAAGAAATGAATTACACTTTTTATTTAGCTGCCCTTTATATAATAATAGAGATAAATACCTTAACATTAAAAATCAAAATATATATAGCCCTACATATTTAAATCATGTAGGCCTATTTAGAAATAAAAAAAGATTAAGATTACTTGCAATATATAGGCCTATTGAAAAATGTTTAAGTTTAAGAAATTACCGTCTAAAAGGAATTAATAACATTGATGTTGTTATATAATACGGACCGAAGGCAAAAATTACGAAATAAAGAAAGAAAGAGTTCGTTTGACATAAAAGAAAATTTAATTACTGTATAAACATTACCAATTTTGACTCTGAGACGGACTCCAACATCAGTGTTCCAGTTGTCGCATTTTTCCTGGATACGAAGTGCGCACTTGATGACACGAATTATCGTGTTGTCCAGTGTGTCGCGTTGAACTCTCCACAGTGCGATAAACGCGTCACCTGTACAAAACAAATAATAATAATTAAAAAAAAAACACACACACGCACCAAACGCAATGATGAAAAGGAAAGATAGAACATTAAACGTGTTCGCATGGTAAGAATAACAAACGCAACAATGATTTGCACGATTGCATTTTGAGAAACATATATATATATGACGTCATTAACGAGGGAAATTCCTTCTGAATTATAGGATAACATTTTATGCCTTCACTAAATTGAATTATCGCCAACACAGTCTATTATATCTGGCAGCACGGATTGTGTAGGTCTATACTTGACCTGGTTGTGCACTGGCCGTGATCAGAGATTCGTTTGACATGCTTTTCGGCCTGCTTTATGCCGATAAGAATATATACTTAAAATATGGCCTATGTATTAATGTTAGCATATTTTCGTGCTTTATATCAAAGCACACGCACCGATGCGTGCGTTTTGTCCTGTATTTTTAGTCTACCTTGGCCCGATACTTCACTGACCGTATTGATTAAAAACTGATGCTGACTAAATTAATCCTCGTACCTTTTAATTAATTATGATTTTCTCATCAAATACACATTACCAGTTTACAAATTACAGGGCCGGCGGAACGTTTTTCAAAGTGGGGGGCCCCACTTCCCACTTATAAGAAGGCGCGTAACAGGGGTGGGGGGGGGGGGGGGGCAAGGTAATAATTTTCCCGGTTGTTTCCCGGTTTGTAATTTACCATAACCCACCCCACCCCCCCCCCCCTCCCATATAGAAAACAATACGACATAGGGCTTATTTTATTATTAATATAGGCCACACACGTGTGTTTGAAACTAAATATAAGTATTTTCATCGTGGTTTTATTTATTACAATCATAGGCCTATTCTTTCACCATCATTACAAATTGAGGCCCTTCTTTTAGGTAAAACGATCTATCTTAAATTTTCTTTCTCAAGTTTGGGACTATTAGGTTTTTAAACTTAGAAGGTAAAGGAGGGCAAACATAAGCTTTAACCCTAAGAAATGCGCGCGAAATTTGTTTGTGTTTTTAATTCTAATTTTGTCGGAATTGATCAAAACTCCCTAAATATGCAATTTTTAGAGGAAATTGGCCTACCTCAACAAAATATGCGATTTAAAATTTGAGGTTTTCAGGCACTTTCCCGGGTGAAAAGGGCATTCAATGGAGAAAGATTTTCCACAGATGGATATTTTCCCCTTGTCCCCCGGTGCTTACGCCACTGCGCAGAATATCTGGCGGCTTAGATCAAATGCGCTATGGACACTTTTTGAAGTGGAGAAGGGGTTGCAGGGGTATTGTGATATCTGTTCATTATTTCTTCCTTTTTGTTCTTGTCTTTATTTTTCTCTTCTCTTTTTCAACATTCCTTCCCCGGGAAAATTTCGATTTCTAGATGGCGGGAAATGAGCTTTCCCGACTTCTGTCTTTAATTACCTTTAAGTTCTTCAAAATTCAAGGTTTTCCCATCTTGAAAACGGTCAGGTAATTTTTTCCCATTGTTATACAGTAAATAGGGCTTATGTGTGTATACATACATAACAATTTTTAAAAAATGAGTAGTTGCATGCGAATTTTCCATGAATCGATGAATCCCAAAAAGAAAGGGGGGTCCGGAGGTTCTTCCCCAGGAAAATTTTGATTCCTAGAATGCGGGAAATGAGTTTTCCCGACTTCTGAGGTGTCTTTTAAATTAAAGTCATTAAAAAATACTTAAGAAGTCGGGAAATCTCATTGTCCACCATTTTAGAAATCAACATTTTCCCGGAAAGAACTCGAACCTCCCTTTCTCTGGGTTCATTGATTCATTATAATAATTTTTGAAAGTAATTAAGTTCTTCAAAATTCAAGGTTTTCCACTTTTGAAAACGGTCAGATAATTTTTTCCCATTGTTAATACAGTAAATAGTCCTTATGTGTGTATACATACATAAAAAAAAAGATTGAGTAAGTATTTTTCCATCGATAAAGGAAGGGGGGGGGAGGGGGAGGTCTTGTGGTTCTTCCCCAGGAAAATTTTGATTCCTAGGTGGCGGGAAATGAGCTTTCCCGACTTCTGTGGTGTCTTTTAATGACTTTTAAATTCTTTAAAATTCAAGGTTCTCCCCTCTTGAAAAAGATCAGGTAAATTTTTCTCTTTTTATTTTATGTGTGTATACATACATACATACATAAACAAATGAGTAGTTGCATGAGTATTCTTTTTTTCCATGAATCGATAAATCCCAAAAAGAAAGAGTGTTCCGGGGGTTCTCTCCCGGGAAAATTTTGATTCCTTGATGGCGGGAATTGAGCTTTCCCGACATTTGAAGTGTGTTTTAATGAATTTTATGTTCTTCAAAATTCTAATTTTCTAATAGCAACAAAAAAAAAAAAAAAAAAAAAAAAAAAAATCAGCTTACGGGTCCTGAAAAGGTAGGTTTAGAGTTCTTTTCTTTTTCCCCTTTTTTTGTTGCCCAAGGGAGGGGTCAGGACCCATGACCCCCTCTCCCCCAGATCCGCCAATGTGAATTGCGAGAAAATGTAACTCGGTCG